ATTGAATTTATTTGACTAACCCAACAGAATAATTGATAAGATGGAGTTCTGATGATTAATTTAACCAAGTCCCCATCCTCATTATCCAACTTCTATTTAATACTCAAAGCGGCCATCACAACTCTGTACAAGGGAGTTAGTGGATTCATAGTAGGACAGGAGAGAATACTGGTAAGAGATAAAAATAGAAGTAAAGGTCACAGCAGAGAGATCAGGGAGTCATGTAAGCCAATGATTAGCTTACAAGTGGCATGTTATAGATTACTTTGATTTTATGATCAGGAAGCTAAACAACTGCTGATAGAGCCAAGAGGATCTAAATCCCAACACAGGGCCCAAACAAGCAGAATAACACACCTCCTCTATCAAAATCTCTGCGGTCCCTGTCATCATAGCGATCCCGGTAGCGGTCTCTTCCTCCATCATAGCGGTCATTGTCCCGCCTTGGCGCATCGTAGCGGTCCCGTGATCCTGCAAGAATTGTAATAAAATGACGGTGATGTTTCAATATAGAATTCCTCTGCTAATGACTGTTTTAGAAAACAGAAAACAACATCAAATAAGGAATAAATGCAACAATTTTGGCAGTAAAATCAACAGTTTGGATAAAGAATATATAAATAGCACTTATGGCATGTTTCACAAATAAAAATCTGGCCATTATGACAACCCTGAAAATAAATCAGGGAATATTTACACCTTAGTGTCTGGACCACAAGTTCACTTTTGAATACTTAGCTTTCCTTTACAAATTGTTTCAACTAATATTCTCCTTGGACAGGAAAGTAGTGTCCGTTTTATCCTAGTTAGTATTACTGGTGTCATTCAGAGCCTAAGAAAAATGTCCCTTCTATTCTATTTCTGATAACAGTAATAAGTATGGATGCTGAAGCACGAACAACGGCAAGTCTGACTCACTCTCCCCAAAGGCATCATCTCTCCTGGGAGGCCCTTCGTCAGCGTCTGCACTGGGCCGAGCCCTCCAGTCACTGTCTGTCTTGTCAGGACCCATGTCCGACATCCTTCCACCCCTGTCTCTGCCCATAGAGCCACCGTCTCTCTCTGAAGTGTAAAGAAAAAGAAGATGAGATGTACAAAGTTGAAAGACATACTCCTAAATGCTAAATTACGATAACAGGCAGAGAGGAGCACTGCAATGTCGCACTAGAGGCCAGCAAAAAAGTTAACAACCTACCTTTATCATTGGACTGGTCTGCAATATCCACACGGATCCTTCGGTTTCCAAGGTTCTGTTAGTATGAACAGAGAGGTGACAGTTAGTGATCCCTCTTTACATTTTTATGTGATAAAGAAACTGACTACCTAAAGAGCTTTGCCATTTTATCCAGTGAGGCAAGATTTCATTGTGCAAATCAACTACAGGGAAAGTTGAACATTTCATATGTTAGTTTGGTTCCAGGTGTTAAAATAAAAATGCAAAACGTAAAAAGCATTAAAAAAAAAAGGTCATTTGCGTCCCCTCACCTCCTCGTTAAGACTGAGAGCCCTCAGTAGGGAATCCACATCATCAAATTCAGCATAGCCAAAGCCCTTCAGCCTCTCTGGGTTACTGGGCTCTCGAGGCAGACGCACTGCACTGATCTGGAGATGAACATAGTCAGCACTGTTAAGTTCAGCCAAACAAGATAAGGAGAAACAAAGAGTAGTATGCAAATGAAAAATATGAAAGAAAATGGGTTGACTTTTGGATGGAGGAAATGCCAGATGAGAATATTTGTCATCAATTTCTGCCCTAACCCTGAACAAGCAGGTGAACAGGTGAGGAATGAGACAAGAACTGTTCAAGGGAACTAAAGTGTGTGAAATCAGTCAAGGCAGAGGCTTGTGTGTTTCAGATGTACCGAATTGTTTTTGTGTTACTGAAACAACACTCTGACCAGCTTGGCTTTTTTTTTTTTATCCAACATTTAAATTACAGATGTGACTAAATATTGAGGAGACTGATTAGCTTGACAAAACTGTCACTTAAGGTCCACTGTTTGTGTTGCATTGAAAAACAAAGAGCTGCAGTAGTGTAACCACCAAGTACTATGTGTTATATGTCATACACTGCATGTACGTGCGTGCGTGTGCGCTTGCTAAACTTACTGCCAAACCACGGAAGAAGTCTTTGATCGAGTCCTCAGTGACATCATAAGGTAGGTTGCCCAGGAAGGCCGTGTAAGGCGGGCTGCGGGGCAGTCGGGCACGGTCAATATTGGGTTCACGAGCTGAGCGAGGTGCTGTGGGCAGGATGGACCGGTCAATGGGTGGTGCCCGGTAGCTATCCTCCTCCGTGTGCCATGAAGTCGAGACTGGGGAGATGAGAAAAGGAAGATTTTCAAACAAATGCCAACTTAAAACTTCCTTTCAGTTACTGAACAACAACCGCTTATTTTCTCTTTGACACTCAGTTCTTCAAATCTTGCAGTTGTTTTATTCTGACAGAAAAAAAAAAAGGACGGAAACAAAAACTTCACATGAATTAATTGTGATGGGAAATATATGCATCACACATATCGGCATCCAAATACATACAGGACAAACCAGCAAATGCCAAACAAACATTCAAAAGTGTAACAAATAGGTACTTCTGACAGGAAACCCTTTTTATGCACCTTTAGTTCGGCAGACACTAAAGTGTTCTGACAGGAGTGCATTAATTATGATGTGTATTGCAGTATGTAGTACTGTATATAAAGTAGTATACTGTAGTTATTGTTCTGTAAGGCAGATATTAATGGAGCCAATAGTCAGTACTTGATCTGACTAACAAAAAACCTTGGAATATTAGAATAAAATAAAAAGATATTAAAAAGGTGGGGTTGTCGAGTCTCATTTTCAGGTCGTCAAATACCAACGCTGTGACAAACCACTCGCTTTACCCCAAAGCGTCTGTATTTGACAACCTGGGAATTAAACTGAACACTCAGCTATCTTTCTCCAGAATGACTGACTCCACCTTTAAGTATTGGGAATGAAACTATCCAGAAATGTCATTAAGTACTTCTTTGGCACCTTTTTTTGCCTTATGCAAAGAGAACTATCATCATCACTATCATCATGTAACAACATGTGATCATGTGATGTGTTGCTGCTGGGAAACAGGAGAACACAAAATTTGAAACGTGAGGTTCAGCACCACAACTCTGACAAAAACATCTGTAGATGCATCATGCAAAGGAATATGACAAAGTTAAACAAGTCACAAAGGAAGACAGGCCAAGAGCATAAGAAACTGAATCCAGAGTGCAATAGTTCAGCACTGATAACAGAATAATCATTGAATTTATTTGACTAACCCAATAGAACAATTGATAAGATGGAGTTCTGATGATTAATTTAACATCCCCATCCCCCAAAGTCCCCATCCTCATTATCCAACTTCTATTTAATACTCAAAGAGGCCATCACAACTCTGTACAAGGGAGTTAGTGGATTCCTTTCAAAAACACTTGGAAAACAGTGCAGTTTACAGTGGAGCTCAATCATGACCAACGTAATTACTAAATCTAAAAGAAAACGACTGCAAAAAGCAGTGCTGCAGGCTGAAAAGATTCATAGTAAACTGCAGCAGTTTGGCAAAGCGTGGTTATGTTGTTATTTAGAAGTATCAATTTAACAATTTATGTGTGTAGTTCACATTAAGAACAAACAAGCATTGCCCTCGTCAAAGCAGACACTCAACGCTGTCATATTAGAACTGGAAAACTGGTGTTAAGCTGCCCCTACATGGAGGCCTGACTTTTTATTACTTCTACATTACACTTCTACTACATACCTTAATAAGACCTCAGAAAGATCAATACAGCTCTGCTGCAACACATTTACATGTAAAACAAAGACGCAGTTGCTCATTTCACATTCAGTCAAGCATCAGACCACAAACGTTGATGCACCACCAGTTTGACGGCATTTCTTCAACGCATTTCTTCCAACTCAACTAAGAGACAACCCGATCGATAAGAGAGATAATATTGATTTTACTATTAGACCAAAAATGCTAATGCAAGGTATGCAAGATAAAGACTTTAAATGTGTGCTCACCATCGCCGTCCAGGTCGTCAGTCTCATCTGCCCAGCTGGTGGACTTGGCCGGGTAGCTGGGGGGCGCATTGTTGCCTCCACTGTCCTCTGCCAGGAAGTCAGTCAGAGTGAGGGTCTTCCCCTTCTTATTCTTCTTCTTAGCTAAAGGGAGATTAAAACAGTAGAGTCAGCCATGGAAGACAGTAATGGCATCTCAGTAGGAAGTCTTTCTTCCCATCGTCGTCCATTTTCTTCATTAAAAGAAGAAAGAAATTATATCCATTAAATCGTCAATAAATTTACCTTTGATAGCGTTTTTTTAAGCTATAGATCACTAGAAAGACAAACACACATTCAGTTCGGGAATAGTGCCAGATGTTACAGATGGCGTGTAAGAACATGGTAATTACAGTCAAAACTGGCTTTTATTATAAACTCATATTTTACTAAATGTCGTTATTAAAGCAGTGAAATGCCGTGCCACTGAAGGATTCATTCTTTAAAAACACTAACACAACAACAGTCTGGGTTTTCGAGAGACTCGTGTGTGTGTGTGTGTGTGTGTGTGCATCCACTCATGCAGGCAGCTGCATCTCTGCGCAGCCAAACACTATTTGTAGTGCACGATGTTGTCCAGTCAGATAAGGGGATTACAATGTGTGAGCCACTACAAAAACAGACTTATTTTGCTATATGAAAGTAAACACAAAGGGAGTGGCCTGCCTGTACAACCGTCACTGTGCAGCAGGCCAGAAAAGGCAGGACCACTGGGCTGCCCATTCGCTGCCCTTTCCAAGGAACGTACATGAGGAGCATGAATCAATGAGTCATGTATCCATTGCAGAACATCCCTCATGCTACCTCTTTGTATGCCAGTTGCATCACACAGCTCGTTTCATAGAGCAGGTCTGGTTTGTTTTGGTCTTAGGCAGGATAAAAAGGGGAGCGACAAAGCTGGCTGTGAGCTTTATTGTGAAAATCCCAGGTGTCAGGACATTCTTTACACACATCGTTACAAAACCCTACACACATACAGAGAGCAAAACAGGCGGGTTACAGCTGTTTCCCACTGCATAATGCTCAGTCATTGTTTACAATTAACAGGCCTTACTAAATGGCCTTGACTGCTTGTGCCCTCTAAAACCAAAAAAAAAAAAAAAACCCTCTGCTGCCTGTTTGGTAGCTTTCTTAGCGCCCAGCACTGATGTGACATTAGCAAGCTAGGAGCTGCTATAATAGCACAATAACAGCCAGGCCGACAGTAAACTATTAGGATAAACCCGCAGGTTGTTCGCTAACTACGTAGGTCCTTTTGTCTTTATGCTTATGCGGGCTTAGTCAGCAAAGGACTGCTGACGGGGGAAGTATCCCTGCTTAGCTGGCTAGGTTTTAGGGCCTAGCTCACGTCGCAGCGCCAAGATCCAAGTGCGCCATCACCGGAGCGAGACTCGACCGGCCGGATGGGACGGCACAAAGTTGAGAAGCTGCCAGGGAAGTGTTTAACATGCGACCCCGCGGGCTCAGCTGCCCCGTTTTATCAAACACCGATACCCGGGAGCAAGGCTGCACACGTGGGGAGACTCCTCGGGCTGCCCGGACTCCTCGGCCCGACCCCTCCTCCTCGAAACGCGCTTGCGCCCGATGCTGATCTGCTCTGAGCGCCACGGCGAGCCCCGCTACGGACATACAATGTGCCAGCTCTGCACGCAGTTAGAAACATTTCATAACACGGCACACAGTGTCCAATATATGTAACACCGTATAACCCCGAAAGCGGGAAGCCCTAACGCCGCAAAATGACTATTCATAGGAAAAGACCGCATGTAATCTGTAGGTTAAAATTCAGATTGTGCAAGTCGTTGCTTCGTTCATTCGCCTTCCACCAGCAGTTGCGTCTTTACCGGCCCAAAACAACCGACGAAGCTATTTATAGACGCCAGACAACGACGCCAATCAACAACACGAGGCATTAACAATCCCCAAACTTAATGTTTTTAATTAAATCGATGTATAACCCGCTGAAATCCCCCCCAACCGACCCAGATCGTTCACCCTCATAAACCTCACCTGACGCCGCCATGTTGGAGAGCGAGTTCGTAGTAGTTCCCGGATGAAGGCGTCAGAGGTTTATTATCGGGAGCGCGCATCGGCGTTCACGGGCCTGTCTCCTCCCTTGTTTGCGTACTCACATCTGCTTAAGTTGACTACAGTGACTGTTACCTTCTTTTCTCCAGGTTTTTATCATACCTGTCACTCAACTACATTAACGTTAGCTGTTATTCTCACGGTTGTTTATTTATTTCTCTCTTATAGTCTCCAAATGTTAGGTCTCTTATAGTCTCGAAATGTAGTCTTTATAGTTCAAATGGTAGTCTTTTGTCTCAGGAAATGTTAGTCTCTTATAGTCTATCAATGTAGACTCTTATTAATCTTCAAATGTAGTCTTTATTAATCTTCAAATGTAGTTCTTATAATCTTCAAATGTAGTTCTTTATAGTCTTATTGCCCCCAAATGTAGTCTCTTATAGTTCAATTTAGTCTCTTATAATCCTTCAATGTAGTCTCTTATAGTCTTATGCCCCCAAATCGTGTTCTTATAGTCTTCAAATGTAGTTCTATAGTCTCAATGTGTCTCTTATTAGTCTTCGAATTAGCTTTTATTAGTCTCCAGGATGTAGTCTTTTTTAGGTCTTCAAATGTATGTTTCTTATGTCTACAAATGTGGCTTCTCATTGTCTCCAAATGTGCTCTCTTATAGTTCTTTATTGGCCCAAATTGTGTTCTTTATGTCTTATAGTCTTAAGCCTTTCCAAAACAACAGTGCGCTTTAAATGATCCATAGCTGCTAAACCCTATATAATTAACCCTGACAATATGTGAGAAGTGGTGTCAATTAAACTATATTAAAGAGGCTGTAAGTCTGTAACGTGTATGGAAGCCAGGAAAAAAGGATATCTGTAAAATTATCATAAGAAACTTTCTCCAAATAAGGACTTAGTATCACAAAGTCCTTATTTGAGATAAGTCAAGATATTGAGGAAATTCCTCATTATAATGACTTACGAATCCTTTTTCCCCTGTCACATTGGAAATGGGCTTCCATACCCAAGTCATAGGTCCAGTTTTATATTGTTTGGTGCTTTACTGCTAAGAGATGAAATATGTTCTACTCTGTGACATTAATGAGTTCATGGATATATTTTTTGAAATTCAAAGCTGTTAACATAATAATAATATAATAATAATGTACATATAATTTGATCATGTTTAAAATAATCATATGTATTAGCTATAACTTAATAAAACTTAAAAGGTACTGCTTAAACAAATTACATTGATCAGCCAAATATGTATTGTGTTATTGATTCTAGTATATAAAATCCTATAGGTTGGGTTGTTAATGCATATTTTACATTAACTATTTTGAAGACACCCCTTCACACTTTCATCATCATATATTTTATTATCAGACTAATGCATTATGTGTGAGCAGCATTTTAGTGTTATGGGTGATGTTGATTCTACAACTTTATATAATGGTGCATAATTAACAAAGCATCATATTTTATAAACTCATAAGTTTTGTATGTAAATTCTTTATATGAAAACAACATTTCAGCTGTGAAAAGAATATACAAACCTTCCTCTCAAATGTAAGTATTATAACATAACATGAACATATTCAACTAAAGCACAAGTAAGTTCTTTTTAATAACTGGATGAAAACAGGATTAAATAAATTATTCAAATGTTGAGTTTAGTATTAAAAGTCAGCTAACAAAACTCTAGGTATGCACTGTATTTATAAATTCTTCATATTATAATACATTATATGATATACATAGTCAAAAAAGCTGTAAGCCAGAGATAAAAAGCCAGTTCATATTGGACTATTGCCATTTGACCAGAAACATGACTGCATGTTATGAGAGATGTGTAAAGTAATAATATTTCACAACAATGTGTCTCCTGGCTTGTTTTAAAGTTCTTCTGCCCGCTAGTGGCCAAACATAAATTAAGGCAGATTTAAACATCCTGTGAAATCATGTATTTTCTGTGTTTTTTTTGCCAACAGAAATGATCTAATGATCTTTCTATAAATATGTAATTCCTTTAAAGTTATTATTATTTAATGAGCAAGGGCTATGATATTGCAATTAGTTTACATGTTACATAACATGCACTTTCTTATATACTTATAAGAATATATACTAATATACTTTCATGCACATTCTTATATTATGTTACAATAACAAATGCACAGAAACCGTGAGTCAAGAAGTGGTTTTATTCATTTTTATTTCATTGTCAGATCAGGCACTGGTTGCTTTTAAAATAGCCCTGTTTCACTGTGGTGTGGTCAAATGCCTTTATTCAGAATTGCTTAACTCATTTATGGTTTACATGGAATGTGGTCTTAAAAATTGGCTTCAGATGATCAGAGAAGCATGGCATTTTTTTTCCATAATGGATAGTTGTGGGTTCTTCTGCTTTCTCTGTTGGGATGGTCTCAGATTCTGAATTAGATTGTGGCGGCCAGCTCATCCAGTGCATCCTGGAGCCTGTACAAAACACAAATGAAACATTTTTTACTTTTAAAATATTCACGTGTCGTGTGAACTGACTGGAACTACTTCCCACTTCATGATGTAGTTATACTTGACCATGCAAACCATAATAACAAATGATTTTAGTATTCACCTCCACCACCATCATCACATTACCTCGATCTGTTTTTTTCTCCTCCATCTCTTTATAACTCTTACTTGAAGTCTCCACCATCCAGCAGACCCTTGTAAGTGGAAATCTCAGCTTCCAGTTTCATCTTCATGTTGAGCAGCGCCTCATAATCTTGGGTCTGTTGCTGGATGTTTGCACGCAATTTGGTCAGCTCCTCCTCCAGATGGATAATAATGCCATTGTACTTCTCCATTTCCATGTTGTTTCGTAGCTCTGTGTTGCGTAATGTGTCTTCTAAGGAGGCTTTCTGATGAAGGATTAAAAAGGAGGAATGAAAAGTATGCCAAAATTTTTTTTTAATAATTTGGAACAACTCCTTTGTGAAAATGATTATTTGGGAATGTTTTGCTGCTTTACTAAAATAAGACAACAATTCTGAGTGGGTGTTATGTAATGGCTAGGGTATTGAGAGGATTTGACTATTTCCGGTTTGTTAATAAAATGAAAGTGTATGAGAAACACGTGTAAAATGCATGCTTACTAAGCTCTGTTGGGACGCAAGTTCAATTTCCAGAGTCTGTATCTGTCTGTTTAAGTCACCAATCTCCACCTGGGCTCCTTGGAGAGCTTCTGTGTTCTGCGATACCTGCGCCTGCACGTCCGCAATCTGACAGGAAGACAGGGAAAGGGTGTTAGACAATATATATTAATAATAGATAATAGACAAGATATTTTCTGTACATGTATTTATGTATTATTACTAACACTGTATCACCTGATTTTCATGCCATTGTTTGAGGTCTTCTGCATTCTTCAGAGCAATTTTTTCATAGTTGTTCCTCACTTCCTCCATTATCTGGGACAAGTCCTGACCTTTGGGAGCGTCAACGTCCACTTGCACGCCTGACTGGGAGATCTGATTCCTCATCTCCATCACCTCCTGCAGGGCAGACAGAAAGAGAGGAATGAACAAAAACATTTAGGACGTGTGAAGTGAGTAGTAAAGTGAGATGATTAATCTGGATGTACTGTAAACTCACATTCTCATGGTTCTTCTTTAGGAAAGCAAGCTCCTCCCTCACAGCTTCAATCTCGCTCTCGATGTTCATCCTGGCCATGTTGGTATCATCTATGACTCTCTTCAGTCCACCAATGTCGGCCTCCACAGACTGACGGATCGCCGTCTCATTGTCGAACCTGTAGCAGTGCACAGAAACAAACTCTATTACAGACACAATCAGCTGTTATTCACACTGTGCTGTGTAGTATAACGTTACAAAAATGTCATGACTTAAGTTTTACGGAAGTGTTTCAGATACAAACTTGCTGTTGCTAAAGTCCTACTCTATCAGTGAAGATTGAGCTTAGATGTGTCTCATTCGTATACGTAAGCTTGATATATATAAGACAACACAGATTAAATTTAAAACAACATACTTTACTTTGAAGTCGTCAGCAGCAAGACGGGCATTGTCGATCTGGAGCACAAAGCGAGCATTCTCTGAAATCTTATCAAAGATCTGGACAGAAAAAAAGAATTTATGACAAAGTTGCCATTTTTACACAATTGGATGTCAAAAACTGAAAGGTTGTTTTGTCTTTTTCCTTTATTTTCCTGGATAGAAAGAATGCAGTTGTTTAACCAGAAGCCTCTTCCTTCAATGCATAACTGAATGATCTGCTCTATTCATCATATGCTATGATATAGCAATGTTACACACAGCTACAAAATCAAACATATGATTTGAATCACTATTTCCCTTACGTAACAATAACAACATAGTTGAATCCATAGAAACATTCAGTGAAAAAAGGAACCACAAACTGAAGGACAGGAAGAGGGGATGTTTCTGTGCCAAAACAGAATCTGGTTTGTTTTAGCATTGTTGGAAAAATGGGTTTCCTGTCTTACAGAGAGATTTTTCTTCTCTCCAATTTTCTCACAGCTGCACTGTCTCTGTCTGTCATTTTCTTTGTATATATGTGTTTATGTGTGCAGGATTGTAAAATTCTTTGTGCGTGAGCGTGTTTGTGAGTTCATCATTTCCAATGTGTCTATGATATCCTGTCTTAGAAGAAAAGGGGGAATACTCATCCCTTTATGTGTCGAAAAAAACATAGTGCCATCATCAATGTGTCATTATGTGACATTGAAGATCTGGGGTCTGTAGAAGAATGTGACATTTGACTCTGCTGACTGGAGCTGATTGTTATACAACCAGTGGACTCACATGCAGCTATGTGTGCGCGCGCACACACACACACACACACACATACACATTGGCAGTCCAAGATCCTTTGTGTGTGCATGTGTGTGTCGTTACCACACATCTGTTTCACATTGAGGCCCTCCTACACTGGAGAATTCTTGTAGAACCAGCATTTGCAAGCAGGACCATTTGGAAATGCTTTTGTCTAGTGAAGGTTGTTTGAGAGCTTTCCAGTCTGTCTCTCGTGATGCTACCCGCGTGTTGGTGATTCATCAGAGGAAGTTATGGCCACTTTGTGGCATGAACAATTTAATGGGGGAGGGTTAGAGCTTAGCAACCACACCCTTCATTCTCTAGCAAGAAATGTGATAACCTACAAAGGAAAGACTGCCCGTCTGAGCACAAGTTTTCTCAACCTTAACCGTCAAAGTTAGGCACTAGATAAATAATGAAAACACTTATAAAACTTATTTCCACAAGTAGGTCTACATTTGAAACATTGTCTGTGATGATGAGTGCCATCACAGGCATTTACTGATTCTCATATTAGAGGCCCCATCAAGCATTTCTAAAGCACTCAAGCACTCATACCCCTCACATTTTTCATTGTCTGTCTCACTCGCTAAATCAAAGATTACAACGAACAACCAGAGATTCCCAGTTTTAGAACAATACATATTCAACTTTCACCTGTTCATTTAATAAGCATTGTTTGTCATGCTTACCTGTCTGCGTAGATCATCAATGATGGGTTCATACTTGCTGTAGTCTCTCATGTCGGGTCCCCCCTTCTCCAGAGCCTCCATGATCTTCATCTCCAGCTCCTTGTTGGCCTGTTCCAGGTTCCTTACCGTCTCCAGGTAGTTGGCCAATCGGTCATTCAGGTTCTGCATGGCTCCCTTCTCGTTGCCCTGGATTCTAGCAGCAGCACCACCACCGGTCCCCACAGATGCACCGGCACCACCAAAACCAGAGCCCATTCCACTGCTCAGCTTGAAGGCAGAGGAAGAGGAGGTCATTGGGGCACCAGACCGCAGGGAAGATGAGGAGGCAGAGGAAATGCGGGCACCGTGTCCACCAGCACCTGCATAAATGCTGGCTGCACGATGCTGAGGTGTGGAGCGGGTCATGGAGATGTGGGAAGAAGACATTGGCTGCATGTTGGATCTTCTGAAGCTCATTTTGGATAAGTTTAGGCACGACAGAGAATGAGGTGAAAAATGAGATGGAGACTCAATGCTGGCCGGACTAGAAAGTGACGCTGGCAGCGGGAAGTAGGGGAACTTATACTCCTACTTCTCTCCCTCAATCACAGCTGGTCTTTCAGACCCTGCCCACTTTAAAATCGCCCCAGTCCTCCTTTCCTGTTCCCCCTCCCTGCTCTCTCATTCACCCACATGTTCCCTTTTTTAAACCGACAGTGTGTTTTCTGTCTCCAAGGCAATGTGTGAGGCATTTTTCTGTTGCAAAAAAACATTCACATTTGAACAGCCAAAGCAAATTAGTTTATTTTACTGAACTATAGAGATCACATAAACCACAACAACAAAGGGAGCAGTAATAGTTGTGTTGTCCAGGCTAAAGCACAGCCTTCAACAGAGAAAGCTGGAAGAGAATTAAAAGTTAAAGTTAAAGGGTAGAATATTCTTTTCAAACGAGGTTCACTTTGTAAGCATGCAATCAAATTCCTTTGGTTTGCCCATAAAAGGTATAATGTCTACCATTTACTGCATAGTTTCTAAGTTTGTGGACAGCCAGGCCCCAAAATAAACAGATTTTTGCCAGCCTTCCTATCTAGACTAAACTGAAAGTGAGATATATATTAGCTGCAGCACTGTTTCCTTTAGTTGTAGCTTAAATAAGAGGGAGAGGGGGCATGTTTTTACTGGTTTATACTCTTAAAGTGCAAAATTAATTAAGAGGAACTGTATACAGCGTGATGTTAAATTGTTTACCAGAGTAGATGCATTTAGAAAGATATTACAGATTTACTGATAGTTGCAATCACAATTATATTTCTACACAGACAATAGGATGAACAGTATTAACAATGAAACCTGCCATACTGTAAAAGGAAACCTAAGGACATCCAAGCTTCAAATATACCCAGAAGACACAAGAAGAGACTGGATTCACAAAGAAGGAAAGTAAGCCAATAGCACATTGTTCAAAATACAATCAAAAGGAAAGAAAGGATGCCCTCATTCACCTATCATACTACAGGCGATTATCTGCGCAAATCAGTTCTGTTGAACTGTTGTTGATTTTAGACAAATATCTTTGAAGCCTTATCAGGTGTGGTACCTGGTCTTTGATTGCTGCTTTTTCAATGATCCATATGAATCCTATGTGTTCATGGGTGGTTCCCACTTGGGTTTTCAGATTGTAATTTCTGTTTTGTATAATGTTTAATGTATACTGGTTTGTTGTAATTTGGTAAGCACAGTGCAAGCTTGAAAAGTGCTTTATAGATAAAATTATTATTATTATTATTATAATTACAAAACCTTTTTCTGTATCACAGTGACTAAATCACAAATGGTGGTGAAGACTGATCTAATCTAAGGGACAGCAGTGGAGATGACTTTGTCTGTGGATCTGTTGGTTCTGAATGCAAACTGAGGGCCCAGGCAGGCAGGGATGTTGTTCTTTATGTGCCAGTTTCTCAAAGCACTTTATCAGAATGGGGTAGAGTGCCACAGAGTGGTAGTCAACATGCCCCCTGAAAGAGGAATGTGCAAAACAATGCAAATAACTAAAAACAGGAAAGAAACTGCATTTAAAAACCAAGCTGTAATACGCAGTGTTTTAGAAAAGTTCATGTAGGTTTAGTTGAGGCTAAATTTGTGGTCAAAGAGGATTTGGGCCTTAGAGAACAGGATAACAAAACTAAATGAACCACCCCCAGGGGAAATTGGCAAAGGCTCAAACACCCTCCTGAGCTCTATAAAACCCAGTTCTTTTCTTTCCTGATCTTACCTCACCTTCATGGTTGATCGAGTTTCAGTGTTTCTCACACTTCACACCAGCCCCTCAGTGTGCATTCATTTAGTTGTCTCTTTTAATAATACTTATAATAATAGAAGACAGAAAAAAAACAGAGAGCAAAAATAGAGAATAAGCAAAGGTTACACTGACAAATCCGGCCTGTGATGCAGACAGGAACATATAAAGAGGAACGATGAATTTAATCAGCATGACTCATACCTCATGACAGCGTCATCACTGTCTTGTTTGTTTGAATGTAAGTTGGCAACTATTGCTTTGCCTGCCAGGACCCAAAAAAACAAGAAACTGACAAATATAAACAGGGAAGTACCCTAACTAGTGGTTTTATAACATACCTTGTATATTAATGGCACATATCCCTGCTTTTAAATGAAGAGATTTTTTATTCCTGCTCACACAATGTTTCATTATGAAGAGTTTTTTTCTTGGAAAGAATAACTCCCCAGATTTTATTTCCCCATATACAGTACAATAGTCTTGATCTGAACTGCACACCTCTTTCGCAGATAAGACAGTAAAAGAAGTAAAGAGAGAAAGGAGAAGAAGCTGGAGTCTGTGAGTCATGGTAACACACAGCAGGAATCCGGAAACTACCACAGCAGTTTATGTGCTTCACAAATCTTGGACAACTGTCAGATTATTACCGCTCTCAGCCTTGCCTTGAATGAACTTAACATCCCTCCCTCTTTCTCTTTGGTTTCCCTTCCCCCAGCCCCAGCGCAGAATGAACCCTCTCATATGCTTATATACAAAGTCCAAAAAATTAATTTGCATAGATGCATATGCAAATGATTGTGTGCGCCCTGACACACGCAAGAAGAAATACGCACATGTGAGTGTGATACACTCTTACACACTTGCTCCCTTACATCCTCTCTCCTTCTCTTGATCACTCCTATTTACTCACACAAGATGCTCAAAAGGTACGAAAAGTGGTGATCTGGTGGTTTATTTTTTAAATGTATGTCTATATTCCAGTTTTATGGACAAAACCTTCAGCAAAGTGTTGGGGTTACACATCAGAGGTTAGCGAAATGTGTCGACTAAGAGACATTTTCTCTGTGGTATGTCATGTCCACTTCTAGAGCAAAGACATTTCACAGGAAGACATAAAATGAGTAATGAGTTAGAACTGTTAGTGGGGAGTCACCTATACTCCAATTTCTCCAGTTAACTCCAGTCATTCATCCATATAACCTTTGTTTTATTTCTGGGAGAAATCATTGACCGTGATCCTCATTTAAAATGATGCTAAGATTACACCATGGAAAATACAAATGTGCAAAATTAACAAACAAAATCAGTTAAAATAGTTACCATGGGAACTAGAACCATACAAATCAACAAACAAATCAGGAAACACAGACAGGAAATGAACGGTTATTACGTACATTCCTAAAATATGTACTAGTATGAGTATTCAGTTTTAGGTCACTTCGGAAGAGATTCAGTGTCTGCTGCATTAATACTAAAAGCAGTCCTAACAAGATAATAAGCTAAGGGATCAACACATTTATTTTAACTTATACTATCTACTACTATTATCTGTAGCAAGTTTCACAGAAGTCTATAGAATTGTTGTTAAAATATTTCACTTTGAATCACAAATGTTAACCTAATGGTGGTGGACAGAGGAAACGTCAGGGGGTTCATCGATGAGGACAGTCTGAAACAAAGTAGTGGACAGAGATGCAGTTTCATGAAGTAGACTATTCAAAGAGGAACAGTGACGGTACCTGTGACCACATCACGCCACTCCTCCTGTCCACGTCCATCCTTCGGTCACTAGGTGGCATAAGTCTCAAAGCAACTAACATTAAACCTACTGTAGTGAGGGAACAGTGTGTCCACACATTAGTGCATGTTTTGTACCTCGATACCTCCCCCTGACTTGTTATAATGAGTTCACTCCCATTGTTTAACATGTTTCCATCATGTCTGTACTGGAGGCTCTCTGTTTGCACAGGCATCGCAGGGCGAAGCTGTAAGAGAGTTTTATAACTGATTTTACTGATAATTTCGGCAACAAAGTCCAACTTTAAGACAACAGCTGAAACCAAAGCATTTATCTTTCCCTTTTTTCTGCATTTCCCTGTTCTATTTTCACTACTTTTTTCCGTAATTGTAAACTTAAGCTAAATTCTGTTTATATTCACAAAGCACTGGATGCATCAAGTTCATTATAACCATATTATAATGTGAAGATGCATGCAGGAGTGATGTCATCACCTTTGCTATAGCTTTCAGCCTGCATTTACTGTACATCATCACCCCATTCTTACTGGACATCTCAGTCAGTCCGTCAGTCCTCGTGAAATAGATTTATTTCTTATCTTTGCTAATTGTCTTCTCATATCCCCCACTTGCTCATCGTCTCCCCACCCCTCCTTTCAGTCTTGTAGCATGTACGTGTTTCTCTCAGCACATTCCTGACTTGATGTGTCATATAGCAGCTTCATACAAACCAAAACACCACTGGCCTCTCAAGAGACTTCAGGTCAGGGGGTTAGCTTCTTAAATTACCATCTTACTTTTCTAATGCAGAAAGAATGAAGCATTATCTTATCTGGAGGTAGAAAAAAAAGTAAGTCATCAAGCGTGAAATAAATACAGCTTTGTTCTCCAGTTGGTTTATTTGTTGGAGTGGCTGACTTAATGAAACAACAAAAAATGGTTGGATGGTATATGGTTGCCTCCAAGTTTAGCACAGCAGCTCCATTGTGAAGAGTTACGTCACTGTTTGAGACAAGCCAAGCTAAACATGCATTTTTTGATTGGTCCAAAGCCTGAAAGTCCTGTTCAGATTGTTAACATGTACTTTCCACCACATGCTCTCCCTTTCCCTATTCACATTTAGTTTGCACACAGCACAGTACCCTGGGATTCGTCTCTTTTCATTAGCTGGTAGGTGAAGTTTTTTTTTAAAAACATATAAAACCTTGAAAACAAAAGGATAGGGGTGTGGTGAGCATCTTGGAGGGAGCAAGGGGTTTATTCTGGTAAAAATTAGGCAACAGTCATTGAAGCACTCAGAAAAGATCATGAGTCATAAATCTGCAGAGTGGCAAATGAATCATGGTTTCCACAGTTTCAGATGATGGTTGAGGTTCATGTTTTAAATAAAACTGTCACTAAATGATAAGGCCTTACCAAATATGTGTTTTGATATATAATATGTGCTACCATGGAAACAAAGATACACATACACTATCTATCTATCTATCTATCCTATACTATCTATCCAATCCTATCTATCTAT